GGGAGGGAAGACCCATGGCTGGTGTGGGAGGGGCCTGCTCATGGGAGGATGTGCTAGTTGTGGGTAGGATGGGAAGAGCATGCCTTAACTGAAGAAGGGTGGCCTGGCTCTGGGGAGATGTCCATGGAAGAGAAAGAAACACTGTGGAAGAAAAGGAGGGAGCAGGGGTTCTCAGAGAGGGGAGCGGGTGGGAGGGGAGGTGTGATGAGGGGGAGGGTGTTGGCTTCATGCTGTTACTAGTTTGATTTATCCCTAATGAGTTCTCAGCACATGGCTGCTCCCGGCTCACTCCAGGGGCCAGCACGGCCTCCTGTGGGCTGAGCCCGCCCCGACTTTGCAGCAACAGCGGCTGCTCGCTCAGAAAAGAGCCAATTTCCACGCTGCACAGTCCGCTTCACTCCAGGGAAATCACATTTCCCTGGGAGAGCCGCAGGCGGTGCTTCACTCCCCAGTCTGGCCCACTGCCACAGGGCACAGATGTGGAGGAGCCGTCGCTCCTCCTCCACTGGACCTCCTCCCTGTACCCCAAATCTCCCGAAGCTGCTTCATGGGCCTGGTGGCTCAAGAGAAGGAGGAGGCTGCCTAGAGGAAAGGAAGACCTGTGCTGCCTGCCTCCTCCAGGGAAAACCAGGTGCTTGGACTGCGGCAATGAGATTAATGGGTGGTGCGTGTACACACATGCTGTGAGTGTGCCCAGAGTCCCTGGAACAGGGACCTGCCATCCAGGTAGGACCCATCCCAAGGTCTGTGTTTCAGAGGGTTCCAGAGAGCCAAAGCAATGAGCAGCGGGAGAGGGTGGAGAAGGACTCCTGACATTTTCTGAGTCCATGCAGGACCTCCAAGATCTCAAGCACGAATTCACACCCCTAAAAATGTCAAGGTCCTTCACAAAGGAATGACCACTTGAAACTCAGCAGAAGAGAGAGAGGAATAAGGGAGAGAGAGAGAGAGAGAGAGAGAGAGAGAGAGAGAGAGAGAGAGAGAGAGAAGGCAGAGAGCCCTTGGGGGCAGGAGGGACCTTTCCCCAGAATCACAGAGATGCCCCAGGGTAATCTGCTCCCCCACAGAGGGAATGCTTTCTCATTCTAAAGGCCTAAGAGTAACTGCCAGTAGGTAACAGAGAACCTGAGGCCAAAGGCAGAAGGGAATCAAAGACCAGCTGGGTGCAGCCAGGCCTCTGCATTTCCCACAGTACTTTCTGCTGCCTCCTGTACCTTCCTTCTCTCCAGAGCTACTGCCAAGCAGCTCTAACTGACCTAGTCACCTCTGTCCCTTCCAGAGAAGAGAAGGGCTTGTGAGGTGTCTCAGAAGCAGGGCAATGCCCAGACTCCTATGGCCTTAAAATGAGCGACTACTGAGGGGTTCAGTCATAGTCTCGGGGGTCTTCTGTGAATCAGCTGATGACCTTGTTACGGCAGCTTAGTCTTAGTTTCCCCAAGTGTGTGTGAAATGGGACCAGAGTTCAGAATCAGAGACATCAGAGGGATGAGAATGTTTTCGTATACAGAACGGATGAAAACAGAACTTTGGGTGGGGGTGGGGGGCACTGAAAGTTTCAAGACTCAAGGAGAGTCAGAAATGTCCACAGTCCCCATCTGACTGGCTGGTGGTGAGGCACAGGCCCACTGATGGCAGACACCAAGATCTTCAGTATCCTCTTCCTGTGTCCACCCCCAAGGAAACTATGTCAAAGGATAATTACATTGATTTACACCAGGGAAAGATATATTTTGGAGAAAATAAGACATCTGAAAGATGGGGGCAGATGGGGATGGGAAAACCTTGGTGAGTCTAGGCTGCCTTTCTCTCCAGGCCTTTATTTCAAGATCTGTGAACTACAGTCACTCAGCTTTAGGTGGAGTATGTGCCTGGCACACATTAGGCAGAAAATACATTTCTTAGTAACAACTCGTGGCAAGAACTCTGAAGAAATCAGGGGAGGTAAGGAAAAGGGGGGGTTACATACAGCCTGAGGAAGGTGAGGAAAATGGGGGCTTCCAGACAGTCTAGGGACTGTGGGGAAAACTGGGGGGGGGAAGTTTACATATAACCTCAGGTTGGCCTGGAGGGGGAAATCCCAGCTTTTCTCCCCCAACTACCTTCCTGGCTTGGAGCTTGAGGACATAGACCAGAGAGTCTGTGTACCTGGTCCCATTCTTCCTGTAGCAAGAAACATATTGATCACCTGTTTTACTGTCTTGGGCTTGCTACAAGCTCCTGGACAGGCCCCCTGCTGGGAGGTCTTGGTTGGGTGGGTGGGGCATGGAGGAGACAAAAAAGAAGTACTGCCTTTAAAGCTGAGATGGCTTTCAGGGACAGATACACTGGAGGAGGCCAGTAAGGTACTCCCTGCTTTGGCAATCTTCCAGGCCAACACCTCATTCCAAGTCCTCTTGATATTATAGACTAGTCCTCCATAGTCCACAGAAACCAGCACCCCCGACTGCCCCGAAGAGTGAACTAGTCCTCTCAACTTGCAGTCACCCATAGAGGTTACCCCACCCCCAAGGTGGACCTGGCCTTTTAGCTCAGTCCCAATAGCCATAGTACACCCTTTCTTCTTCGTGTCCTCTCACATGCTGCAACGAGACTTCTCCCAGAACTACCCCCCAGCACTGAGGTACTCTGAATAGTCCCTCTCACCCAGTCTATAATGAGTATGCTTTCTGACCCCCAAAGGGGACTCTACTTTGTCTTTGGATAGACTATCTGAATTGGTCCTGGAGAAGACTTGCTGCTGTTGGGTCATACCACACACACATCCTCTCCCAACATCTGCTCTAAGCCGAGTTTCCTGCTGTGACTAGCTGAGCTCTCAGAAAAGGGAAGTTAAGTTTTGTATCAGACCTATGTCAGATCCCTCTGTCATGAGAGTGACTGCCAGGGGTAGGTACATGGTGTCTCAGAAGGAGTTTTGTTTATAAATGCAAGGATCGCTGTGGAGGCTCATAGAACACCATGGATTTCAAAGTGATTCTCAGTTGTGGGTTGCCTCAGGGTGCTTGTGAATCTGATGGTTTAGAGATATGAACAACCTCCGTTGAAAGAGGCTTCAGATTCCTGCTGCCAACCTACAGACAGAGGGAATCCCTGTTATTGAAAACTGAGCTTCACGCCAGACTGCCTGTGAGCAGCCGAGGACAGGGTTTCTTCATGAGAAGTTCATGACCAATTGGGCTCATCCCACCCCTGCCCCTTGAAAGTTCCCGGCAACCCCTTTGAAGTAGACCTGAAGAGGTAACAGCCTTGACTCTCTACTTCTGTCCCTAAGCCATGGAGCCACTAAGAAAGATGATAAGTCCTCCCTTCCACCAAACTCTAGCCTGCTATCTTCCCAGGCATGCTGCCCTCATTCCATCTGGGTCCAGCACAGAGAGAGGATTCACATAGATGCCACATAGCTACCCTCCCAAATGGCGGGGGTCGGGATGGGGACAAACACCTGTAAAGAGAAAAAGAAAATAGAGCCTTGGTAGCAACCCCCCTGTCCATTTTTTCCTTGTACCCAGAACCATCTGGTGTTCCTGAAGATGGCCCTGTGATATTGGTTGTATTTAGTATGGTGCTGGGTGGAGGATAAGAATACCTAGTTGAATCCTCTGCTTCCCACTTTTCGCCACATCATCCCATATCTTTCCAAGCTGAGTTTTCTCTCACGTAAAAGTAGGCTAATCTGAACTTGTCTTCCTCAGTGCCCCCAACACTGTGCCTGGCACAAAAGAGAAGTTTGTCTTCTTGCTCACTTCCTTCAGCATCTCGAAGCTCCAAACTGCCATTTATGTGGAGCCTAGCCTGTACTTATATCTGGATCTTCAACTCACCCCTGATACAACTCATTTCGGTTAATACCAACAGCAACCACTTATGGGGATGGCATTGTGTCACAGGCTTATTTTATGCTGGCATCTACTTAGCTGATCAACTCAAAATTTGGCATAATAGATTTACCCAGCACTGGAAATCTATTAAGGCAAACACAGAATGCTAAGCCAGGACATCTAAAATGTCCCTTCTAATCTGTATCTTTAAAGTGAGTTTGTCAATCACTTGGTTCTGTGCTTAGAGGTAGTCCATCCACAAGGTGCCCCAAAACCTGAGACCAAGAGTAATGGTTTATTGAGTCATGTGGTAATGGTGGGTTGTCTTTAAAAAAAGAAAAGAGTATCAAGGAGAAAGCCCAACATAGTAGGGAAACAATTCACTCAGAGGCCAAAGTCTGGGGGATGGAAAGAGGGAAGCCTGACCCAAACAGAGCTTCTTTTACAGTATTTACAGTGAGGTGGTGGGGGGGGGGAGAAGGAGCTGAGGAGCCAGAGAGGGAATCTTGTAGCTGGCCTCGGGGTCTCTTGGGTGGCTGCATGGGCTGGAGCTGTGGAAAGCACACTTGAATTGGCAGGGCTGTTGAGACCAGGTCATGGTGATCCCAGATGTCATGTTTTGCTCTGTGTAGAGCCTCAATGCACTTTCCAGGGGACAGTTTCACTGCTGCCAAAGGGTGACCCGATGGTTGAGAGGCTAGAGGATACTTGTAGGCTCACAGCAATAGGAAAGGGAAGGTCAGCTGACATCCCCAGGAAGTTGCTGGTTGACTTGCCCAGCAGGTAGCAGAGGCTAAAGATGGTAACTCCTAGGATGGCTGATGGGTAGAGTGTTGGCCCTGGGCTATGATTAATGGGCCAGAAGGACTTGCTTACAGTCCATAATTGCTGGAGTTGTATTGATGAATTGATGATGTGTTGATGGCAGTCCTTGTACACCCTCAGAAAGGTCTCCCTGTAAGTTCTTTGTGAACTCTTTCTCTCCTTTGGTGGGTACCAGCCTGGGTATATATCTCCTCTAGTTCCATCTCCTTTGAAATGGGATGCATCTTGCTTCCTGGAACTCCTGTCCCCCACAAAAGGAATCTTGGAGGACAGTTTGGCCTTCTCCAAGGTCATCCTGACTTTCATGGTTCATTACATTGACCACACAGGGAGTGAGCCGAGATGCTGGAATTGTGGTTATTTTTCATGTAATAAATAAAGATTCCTTTGTGTGACTCTCTGGAGCCTGTCTCAGGCCAAGTCCTCCTGTTGCCTGGTTGTTCCCACTGTCCCCATGACAACTACAGATGGTCGAAGGCCGTGGCAGAGGTGGGTGGTGCACTTGGCCTTGTTGTAGAGCTGTAATAATATGGGGAACCTGAACACATTAAAACAACACCATTATTGCTGGTCAGAGGGAAAGCTGTACCATGGCGTTCCTCCACATCTGCTGACCTTTAAGACAGCACACGTTAATCATTTATCCCCCCGCCCATCTGACCATCAAAGATTAACTCCTCTCCAGCCTTTCCTCCTTCTCCAGCCTTACCTTTTGAGTTTCTAGCCAGAAAAATGATGGCTTCTTGCCCCCTACCCCTCATGACTGCTTTGACCTTCAACACTCTTGCTTAAAGGAGTAGGTAATAGAGAACAGTTATATGTGGCACTTCAAAAACTGAGCACAGTGGGGATTGCTGACCTTGCCTAAAGAATTGGCAGGTCAGAGCATCTTCTTCTAAAGACCCAAAAGAATTGTCTCCTGGCTGGTTCTATGGATTCTGGGCTGGAGGGACTCCCACCGAGCTCAACGGGAAGGCCCTCTTGATCCCACCTGCCTCCTCATCTTTGCCTTTTCTGGCTAAACTGAAGAGGTAGCTTGGAGTTGAACACATCTATCTGGTTTGGAGTTGAACACATCTGTAACAGAGGACAGTCCCCTGTGGGTCATTTCTGGGATTGTAAAATATGACAACAAAATATGGTTTTAGGGGATGGATGGTCCAGCCAGTTTTCCAGTATCTATAAAATTTGGACATCTCCAAGACCACTGTTTGTTTCTGACTCAGATTTGCTCTTATAACTGATAGGGCTACCACTCAAGAAGGCTCTAGAAGAATTCCATAAGGTCTTTGTGGATTTATTTCCCTCAGAATCTTCCCCAAACAGATGGGTGAAAAAGCAGTCTCAAAGCTCACTTGAAACTCACTTTCCAGATATCAACCCTGAATACTGTTCACTTCTAAAGGAACTGGACAGAACAAAGCTTTGCAGGTGATTCATGACTATTTTCAATCGATTTGGATGACCAATGAGCAAGATGGCATCTTGGCCTTAACTCCCAGGAAGGAGAGCAGCTGGCAGTGTGCAGGGAACTCCTGAATAGTCTCACCTGGCAAGACTATAAGTGCCCGCAGGCAGGCCAGCCACTCTTGAGCTTTGCTTAACTGTAACTTCCCTTCTCTATCCTTGCCCTTCAAGGCTTGATTCCTGAATTTTACACAAAACAAAATTTAACAGACATGGCTGTGGAAAGAGAAATATAGAAACTGTAGAATGTTTGGCCTTCTGTTCTCTTCCCTAAACCCACCTGATACTGTGACCTGCTGCTGATTTCTTTTATAACAAACAACTGTCATTTGTCTCTAGACATTCTATCTAACCTGGGATCTCCCAGCTCTTTGGTCTGGCTTCATTCCCCACCACAACCCTCCCCTGCCCACCAGAGAGCCTGGACAACCCCAGGAACTTACTCAGCAGGCTGGAGTTGGGGAAGCGCCAGGCCTCGCTGTAGGAGGAGTAGGGGGTGTGGCTGTAGGCATTGCCAGAATATTCACTTCCTGTTGGAGCACACAGGCAAGAGACCTGTGAGGTTCATGATACCAGCATGGGGACTAAGATGGGGAGTCATGTCTGTAGGGCTGGCCGGGCTGAGTCCAGATATGAACGATACTGGACAGGGAAGGAAAACCACCACAGGAACAGTGGAGCTCAGGATGTCCCACAGTGTGAGTCATTTTGGGCAGTTCCTTGATACACTACAGCCCTCCCAAGAGCCCAGGTAGGAAGATCCCCACTTTCCAGATAAAGAAAAGGAGACTCTCTATGACCTCAGAAACTCACACACATTGAAAATCTGATGCAGTGTGGAAACAGCCAAACTCTAGGAACCAGATTCAAATTTTACTTTTTCAGCTGCTAGGACTCTATAAAAGGGACTCTCCAGAGGGGGGCTGGTGGTCCAAGAGGGAATCAATTCTCAGACAAAGCCATGCCCTTGCATTAGGCAAAATCAGTATAAGGATTTATACAAGGTGTGTCAGAATACCTCTTTTTGTCAGTTGATCCTCAGCTTTCACAAAATAATTATGCTTGTCAAAGAATTTACTGAAGAATCCCCTTACACAACAGCAACAAAGTCTAACTGACAACCACACCTGTCACTGATGTGTAATTTAAAGCTTGCAAAGCATGTTTCTGTAACTCACTCCCTTCTCATCTCTCCCAACCATCCTATGCAGTGTTCTCCCATACTACCAATTTATAGAATGGGAAACCAGAATGGAGTCTGAGGAAGTAGTTTGTCTACTTGCACTGTTGACCAATGATGGACCTTGGGACAAAAGTTTGAAACTCTGGAGCTGGCTGGTCTGAAGTCAACTCTCCACCTTCTATTTCTGGGCTTGAATATGTCACTTTCTCTCTCCCTGACCCTAGTATCCTTGCCTATCAAATGGGGCCAATTCTTGTCTCTATCTCATGGGATTTTGATCAAGATTAAATAAGATGGTATGTATTAAGTACAAAAAAAAATCATGTTCTTGGTAAAAACAGTATCAATAAATGTTGGTTTCTTTCTATTTTCTCTTGAAACAGGTGCAAAAAAAGTTCATGGCCTGGAGAGATGGCTCAGCAGAAGAGAACTGGCTGCTCTTCCAGAAGACCCAGGTTTAATTCCCAGCACCCACATGTCAGCTCATAATTGCCTATAACTCTAGTTCCAGAGGATCTGATACTTTCACATAGACATACATGGAGGCAAAATACAAATACCACATGAAATAAATTATTTTTAAAAGTTCAGTGGACACTCAGACAGTCACACAGTCTATCTTAAAGGCTGAGCTGGGGCTAGCTGGGTTGCTGCCTTATTGAAGAGTAGTCATTTGTATGAGTGGAAGCCTGAAAAGAGCCTAAGGTAGGGGAGATGGCTGAGCTCTCTTTGTGTTTAGCAGTTCCATACTAGGCTTTGGTTAGGGTTAGGGACAGACCCAAACTGGAAGAAAATATGTGCGGGGGATGGGGAAAAGGAAGAAAGAAGAGAACTAAGAAGTTAGCTAACCCAACCATTTACTTATGAATGAAGAAATTTCCACACAGAAGGCCTCAAGGCATTTTCCCAAGACCACAAGTCTAAATGAGAGCCTGAACTGAAGCCTGGCTGCCATGTTCCTCTGCCAGTGCTTGCTCCTATAGCCTACAGTGGGAAGTAAGCCTGTTTACTGCCTGTGTAGTCCAGTTTCCCTGGTTTCAGCATTCCCTTGGACTCCTCCAATTCTGTTCTGTCTGTCCAGCAAGGGCCCCCATTCTATGCCCTTACTCTGGCCTCCCAATGCTGAATATTACAATCTCTAAAGGTCTAGGGAGAGTATATTTGTCCTCTCATTTTATCACTCAGTCATGCATTCTCTCACTGAGCATTTATTTATTTATATATGCTCTGAATGCCTCTTTGCCTCAGTCATTGGGAAGCTGGGATAGAGGCTGTGTCTGGGTTCATAGTACACCTTGGAGTGTGGTATTTCTGCTACCAGACCTGTCAACCCGCATATAGTCACAGATAGTCACTGTGCCTAGGAAAGGCCAGTTCCCTTTGTTCTTATATAGGATGCCAGTAGCCTCTTTCTCTGCCTCGGGGTCTCTGCCTTCATCTTCATATTCTATTCCAATCAGGTCAAAGCTGATTTATGCAAAATGCCTCTGAGTCAAAGCTGATAATTCCAATGACCACTTCAATAACAGTAACTCCCCCAGCCTCTTAGTCCCTCACTTCCTATGGAATCTGCATTACTCAGTCACCCGCATTGCTTTGCAACTTGCCTACTTTTTCTTTTTACACTCTTTCTGTCCCTTCTTTGTTAGAACTTCACATTATATGGAAGAACCAACCCCAGATTCATTTTAGAGCCTTCTGAGATATCAAGCTTGGTATTTAGCTAACCATCTCAACTCTGTTATGGCCTCTGGATCCTTGATTTCCTCCACACTGCTTCCTCTCCTGCTTTTCCCATGTGTTTACTTACCACCATCATCCATGAAGCTCCCCAGGCCCAGCCTCTGAGGCACCCTATCCCATGTTTGTTGCCTCTATTTTTTATCTACTTGCTGGCGGTTTTGTTCTATAAATCACCAAAACATACTGATGTCTGCCTTATCCTTCAGGCCTACCTTCCTAGCGCAATGCTCCCCTAACTTGTCTCTGTGTCTACAATTTCTATTTCCTCAAGTATCTGAGCAGCATTCTAAAACATGGCCCTGCTGCCACCCTTTCCTCTTTACTCTGTGGTGCTTTCTCCAGGTGCTCAGGACCCTTTAATATGCTCACCATCTTTTGGTGCACTGGCATGCTAAATTAGCTTTTCCTGCCTCAGGGCCTTTGTACTTGGTCTTCTTTTAGGCTAGGGATGGTCAGCCTCAGGTTATCACTTGGCTGACCACTTTGAAAAGCTTCTCAGAAAGGCCTTCCTGCCTATTCAGTCTAAAGTAGTTATCTGCTCTCCCTGTGGCTCTAGTTGATCATCACATTTTATTGCCTTCCCAAAGTTATCTTCATGTGATATTATGTTTATTCATTCATTGACTTGCTCGCTGCTTGTTCTTGTCCATTGTCACAGATAGAGGAACATGTTTTGTGAATTCTGTAGGCCCAGTAGGTCTTCACTAGATTTATTAACTGAAAAACTGATGTGGGGATAATAGAAGTATTAGTAATGAGAAAATGGATGCTGGGAGGATTGCTGGAAAGGGAGGTAGATAAAAGTATGGACACGTGGAAGAAGGAAAAGATGGATAAATGGATGGATGGATGAGTGGATGGATGGATGGGTGGGTGGATAGATGGATAGAAATGCCGATGGGTAGAAAGAAGCATGGAGTGATAGATGTGTGCATAAATACATAGATGGATAGATACGACTAAGTAGATAGATGGATAGATAGGAAGATAGTTGGATGAAAAGAGAAAATGGAAGGATGGGAGAAAGCATGGATAGATGATAGGATGAATCTAACTGCCTAATTTGCTGCCTCTGTTTTATAACTGGTATGAAAGTGAAAGTCATTAACTATTTGTAGGGTCAGGCTGTAGCTTGCAGTGTGGGGAAATGGAAAGAGGCACAGATGTTAAATCAATAGACATGTGTTTGAACAACTCAGTCACTTAGTATCATCCCTGAGCACACCATTTGGCTCTTGTAGACCTTGGTTTTCCTAGCTATGAAACTTGAATTCTACCAGCCCCCAAGATTTATTGTAAGGATAAAAGAGAAATAAAGCTATGCATATAAATGGCCAGGTATGCAGAAATGTATAATAAATTACCATTTATTCCTTTGCAAAACTGATTGAAGAATGTAGCAGACATGTCTTATTTGAAGCCTTAAATGTGCCTTAGATGTATGCAGTAGATGCTTAATGAATTAAGGGACTTTAATGGAAAGAATCCCCACTCAGTCAACTGAGAGATCACAGGCAGTAAGAGATGGATCTGGTATTATTTCTCTACAAAAGATATTCCTTCAGAAGTCATTTATTTGCACAAGAGTGCTCTTAGGAACCATATGATTCATTTTAATGGCATTGCATTTCCTGAAAACTAATGTGGACACAGCTTACTGGAAACCCATCCACTGTGCATGGTGAGACCCTTCCCTTTCACAATTCACTTGCAATCTACGAGACGGGTGTGGTGAATGCACATGTACATGTATGTGTGTGTGACACACACAAGCATTGTATATGTATGCCTGTGCCTGAGAGAATATTTCTTCACAACACCCACTCTAGGAGAGGTCTTCTTAGAAGTAGCCCTTCCCCAGTCTTCCAGCTACCTCCCATGTCATACTCTGGCCCCAGAAACCCCTTGCCCTGGACCTGCCCCCAAGAATCATTCATAATTAAGAGAACGAGAGGGGGGGCTTGCTTCATGTTACTTCCTTCTCCTCTAAGCAAGCAGCAGGGAAAGTGGATGGCTTGGAAAGAAGAGGTTCAGGGAGCAGACTGGAGCCTAGGATTTTGATTGAGAGGCCCCATTATCCACACTCTTAAAAAAATAACCGAATCTTTTCCTTTTTTATCTTGACCAATCTCATTTCACGCTCCACAAGAGGGAGGGAGGGAGGGAGAGAGGGAGTCCGGGGCCAGGAGGGAGAAAGGAGTCAGAATTCTGTATTTTCAACGCTGCATTAACCACATTGCCACGGTAACCAGGCAGCAACAAGTGCCAGCTCAGCAGGTTCCCAGGGAGCAAAGCCTCCTCTCCTTGCTCCCTCCCCTCTCTCTCTCTGCCTAAGAGAACTCAACCCACCTGCCTGTGCACAGGGTGCCCAGAGTGGGTGGGTGGCTGGCAAAGATTAACCCCTGCCAGGAGGAAGCAGGTTTGGTGGAATATGGGCCCAAGTCTTTAGGGTCAACCTTTACCAGAAAGGTTTCAGAGCCCTTCCCCAAAGCTTCAGGCCCTTATACCTCTATGGGCAGTGGAAATGGCTCCATTTTAACCACTCATCCATCCCTGGGGCTTTCCTACATGGCTCCTAAACACTGGGGCTTTCCTAAAGAAATTATCATTGCCCTATTTATTTGTCCAGACCCTGGAATCCTGGGACACTGGATCATAACCAGCAGACAGACACCAAATGGATGGTCAAGCGAATTTCCAGGACATTCCAATGAGTATAAAGGACTCTTAGCTCATACTCTGTGGTATCCTTAGAGTCAGAAGAACCTGAGCCCTAGTCAGTGTTGAGTGACTGTGGAATGCAAAGGAAGACGTATTTCACTCATTTCATCATCACCATTATGTTCATTTCCACCATTATCTTCACCATAATTATCATCATCATTGTCATCGTCATCATTCAAATTCAGATTTTATTGACAAGGTAAATTGAGATCTATATGATTTGATTTAAACCATGGGAGAGCAGTGGTTAACTCACAGTTGTCTCACAGTGTTAGTTATATGCTCTTCCACTTTAATGAGGTAAACGAGGAGGAAGAAGGGGAGCCTGGACATTGGTCTGCCTGTGTGGAGGTCTGGGGAGAAGACTGCTAAGTTGAGAGAAGTCAAGGAGACAAGACAGCACTGGGGATTTTCCCTAGGTGTTTATATGAAGGTACTCCTTTGGACCATCCTTCACTGTCCTTTGGGAAGCCTATGAGTGTGACACAGCCTATCTCTTATCTATTGTATTATCATCTATTGTATTCTTAATTCCTCAACACTTCCCTTCTGCAATGTGCAATGTCCCTCAACCCTTACCTGCCACCATGCCTGCGATAGCAGAAGAGGCATAGCTGCCCTGTCCACTGGAGGGGATGTGGGGTGGATATCCAGGCAGCGTGGGCCCCACCATCTCTCGCCCTGGTAAAAGACACCAAAGAGTCATTAGTTGGTGTGCAGGTGGCTCCTATGCTCACCATCCCACCCTGCTGAGGCTCAGTGAGACGCTCCTCAGCCAATACTGCTGGAGCCACAGCCGTTTTCCAAGCCTCCTTCCTGACTCCTCTGAGCCCACGTTCTTCTTTTCTCTAGAGGGTAGAAGCTCACCAAGCAAGAGGCTCTCGCAACTGCAGTCCTACTTTGTTTCCCATGCCCTAGGAGTTTTATTTTCACAAATATTATTTTATTCCTCCACAAAAATGTCAAGGTGTTGGGTGCTGGGATGGTGTCTTCTTAGGCCTTATCTCCCTGTCCAGCATAGTAGTTGACACCAATGAACTAAATAAATACATAAGAGGCCACTGGACTCAGTCCATCATGTTTCACATGGCTTTTAAAAGAATGACAAAACCAGGCCTTGTGACATAAAGGTAGATGGATGATCCATCACTGTCCTTCGGGAGATATGTGGCAGACATTGCTAATCAACCATAGAGGGAAGCTCCTACTGGTTGATCTGGACTTCCAGGTGGATAAAGTTAATCAGAATAAAAAGGGACATGAAACATGTTGACTATTCCTGACATAAAAAGAAACATCACCGAGAGACTGTTAACTGCCCCACATGATTGTAAGTGGCATTTTTATCAATTGTACTTCTTTAAAAAGCCATTTTCAGTATGTTTCATCCTTGGTCTATCTCTGATTATCTGTGATTTGTGTTATGCCTACCAGGACATTCCTGGGGAAGCCCATCTCCCTGCATCTGTCTTTCCTTCACACCAGGAAATGAAAGCTTCCCTTCTGGGAGACCTCACCTGGCCCTTGATGTTCTCCTCATCTATGCCTGCCCAGCAACCAGAACCCTTCCACTGCTTGCCTCCTCGTCATTCTTGTTCTGTGCGCCAGACCAGAATCTGTACATCCTGGTTTTCCCAGGCCTGTTCATGTGATGACCACTGACTCAGAATGTTTAGTAACAATGGCCAGCCCATTCTTAAAATGATCCAATGTGAATAATGAATTATTTGGGCAAATTAGTCCTTGGTGATGCTTGTAGAATTCCATCTCAGTGATGTTGACATTATTGGCTGGTAAATCCTTTGTTGTGCAGCTGTCCTACTAATTAAAGAGTATTGGACAGAATCCCTGGCCTCTACCCACCAGATTCCAATACACCAGTGAGACAACCCAAAGTATCCCCAGACATTGCTGTATGTCCCCAGTGCAGAAGAAACATGGGATAAAATCACTGCAGCTAGAGAGATCATTGTGTTAGATGATAGCCAATCAGCACAAATGGTTTCTGCCACCTTCCTGGGGGACTGCCTGGAAAACCCTGTCAGCCAAATCACTAGACCTACCTTTTCTATGTCACAGACTGTCCCCTCTTCCCATATGCCCTCCCAGATCCTTCATACCTAAACTTCTTGAAAGGGTACCTGGTTAATGGTGACAAATGGGAAGGTGCGTACCATGAAGACCCATGAATTATTACCCCAAAGTGACTAACTCTCTCTTACTCATGAGGACAATTATTTCATTTATCAAGGACTTACTGAGAAAGTTTTAAGGGCTAGGCACTTGGGAACTTGAGAGAGAGAGAGAGAGAGAGAGAGAGAGAGAGAGAGAGAGAGAGAGAGAGAGACCTGAAGAGCAAAGCTTGGCACTAAGTTGAGATGGATCTTAGGCTAGGATGGGCTTTAGGGCCAATCCAGCCAAGAATGCCTGCACTTACAAGTTCTGCCCTTTTTCCAGAGAGAAGGGGCTAGGAATCAGAGGGCTAGAGGTACTCATTCTGCTTTTATGGCCCTCTGTTTGCCCTGAGACCAGCCACTCTAACCCTAAGTCTGTTTCCTCCTAGGTAAAATGGGGGTGGTGGTGGATGTGGGTGGCCTTATACAAACTAGTCCTACAACTCTGGTGTTCTCAGTATAATCCAACCTGTTGCCTCATGCTCTAGGTAGACACTGATTAGTGTAATGGACACATTTTAAAAATGCTCATTATCAGTGAAGTTCTTGCAGAAAAACATCCTGTCAGAAATAAGCTGTTAGTATGCATTATTGAAAACAGCTTTAGGAGTTTGAGACACTGGAACACCTGTCTCAAATCGACTGTCTTTACTGAGTATCTAGATCTGATTGGCACTGAACTAAACAGGTGGTTTCCGTTCACATGACATAAGGGCACCAGAAGAGCCAAGGATGGGCTGGAAATGCTAGGAAAGAAAGGGAAATGTGACAATGAGGAATAAACACAGGATTCACCCCAAATAAACTTTTGAGTTTCAAGTGAAGAAGTCAACAATGTGACACAATTACTGCCATTACTGCCATTACCAGGGACAATGGTTGGGAAAGGGTGATGGCATGAAAGGGAAGCAGGGTGATGGGCATCTGAGTGAAAATATTGGAAAGAGATGGGGCTGACTTAGGCTTCACACATTTGCTTTCTTCTTTTTTACCTACTAGACAGAAGGAGAAAGCAAGAAAGGGGGGAAGGGAGAGAGAGAGAGAAGAGGGAAGGAGAGAAGGTGGGAGGGAGAGAAAGAGAAAGAGGGAGAGATTTTAAAACTGAGACTGAATACTAGATCCAGGCAAGAATATGAACAAATTAATTTCTCTAAGCCAAAATCGTCCTATCGGCCATACACGGCTGTGATTCAGAGAAGAGCTTGTGGCTTGGCTTCACCTTATTTCCTGGTTGGTGGGACTTCTTGGCACACTGTGTCTTCCATGAATTAAGCTTAGTTTTGGCTCTCTGACCATCTATTTGCTAATGCTAGCCTGCTGTTCCCTAGGCGGGTGCCGGCAGCCTCTGGTCCCATGCCTCCTGCCCTCCTGGTCATTTGCTGTCACCTGAACAGCTTTTCCATCTATGCTGTCTAGTGCAGAGTTCCTGGGCACATACCTCAGGCCACAGATTAACCCAGGATCTCTATCAGTAGGGCCTCATTCCTTGAACACTAGCTCTTGCAAAAGAATTCACCTGTCTCTGTCCCTCTCTTCAGGGATTTTAATCTTCATTTCTCCTTAGTTACCTAATTTTCTCTCAGTAAGGAAGATTTCTGAATCAATGGCCCAAACAGACCACTGAAGACTTCACCTAATAAAATCTGGCCCTCCTGGAAAGACAATGAATTTCTTTTTAGGACACTGCCCTACCCAACCCATGCCTTCATAGACCATCTTAACAATTCCACAAAACTCTCTGCTTTAATTTCTTTTATTTAGAGAAGATGTATTTGTTTATGTATTTTATGTATATGGGTGTTTCGTCTATATGTATGTACATCCTCACACCAGAAACAGGAATAGGATCCCATGGGTCTACAGTTAGAGAAGGTTATGAGCTACCATGTGGGTGTTTGGACTTGAACTCAGGACCTCTGGAAGAGCAACCAGTGCTCTTAACCGCTGAGCCATTCCTCCAGGCGCTCTGCTTTAATTCTTAAAGAACAAGATTTTGTAGTATGGAAGTGTAGCCCAGAAGCAGAGCACTTGTATGGCTTGAATGAAATGTCCAGTATTGGAGAAACAAAACAAAACAACAACAAAGTCTTTCAGAGAGTCAAGAATCTTGAATCACACCAGGTGTGGTGACACACACCTTTAATCACAACACTCAGAGGCAAACAAGATCTCTGTGAGTTCCTGGCCAGCCTGGTCTATAGTGAGTTCCAGGGCTGCCAGAGTTACATGGTGAGACCCTGTCTCGAAACAAGAAACAAAACAACAGAGAATCTTGAACAATTGAAGAAACAAAACAACAGAAGCCACCAGCTAGAGATGGACACACCCTCTGGTCAGACACACCCTCTTCCCCATTCTGTTTTGAATCAATGTATCCTTACTGTTTAATCCCACCTCTACATTCCAATAGACTTCCAATGGGGACTCTTCTAAAAATGTTAACATAGGCATCAACACAGGTTGGCTGACTACAAAGCAGGGTTCTCTAGGAAAATCCTGGCACCCCAGAACTCTTGGTAAATATTCTAATTAGAGGTAGAGAGCAGGAACAGAAAGCCATTAGCTAGAGGAAGGAATCCAGAGGGTAGAGGTGATTTTAGACTATTTCATTTGACCCCTTTGATGTCTGCCCTCTGTGTAACCTCTTTTCAATGCCTTATCTTGTTCTCAGAGCAAGGAGAATTTATGGCAACCCAGAAATCTCCTTGGCAGGACTAAATATAATTTGTACAAAAGAATGGAGGAGGATACTGGGCTCCTTGATGATAAAAACCTAACTGCAGCTTTCCCATCAGCTGAACTTAGAACAGCAAGGACAAGGATGTCCTTGATGTCCCTGTTGTGGCCAGTGGATTGGAATCCAACAGGCGCCCAGCTGGGTGGGTGAGGGTGGTATTCTAAAGGGGACAAACAAGAACTGTAAGTAAATCTCATTATTTCCCAAGTCCTAATGTTTCTTTTTACTTGGCTGACCAGAGAATGGTTGAGGCTCAGAGAACAGTCATCCTGTAGACAACACTCACAAAACCCTTGCTCAGGGAGAAAATGTCGAGTTTCAGCAGATGACAGGGCTTTCTTAGGTAGAGTCAGACAGAAGAAGGGACTAGGCAGGCCCAAGCAAGACTGAGAGGGGCTGATTTAAGAAGAATTCCTGACTCTACCTTCCACTCTGCTTTCCTGCAGAATATCCCGGGAATGATTTGTTCTCTGCCTCTTCCTCCTCTTTCTCTCAGATTTAGCTCTTTCCCTGGTTGGTAGGTTACAGTTCCCATTCCATTTCTAACATTCCTCCATCCTGCTATGTTCCCTCGACCCCATGAGGGCTCAGCCAAGTAACAGGTACTTAGATCCAGGCCTCAAGTGGGAAGTCTCTGCAGTCTGAATTCATCTTAAACACTAGCAGTGATCTGTGCGTCCCTAAGCTGAAGATCTGGGCTCGGTTCTCTAACCTCTAGGTCTTAACTTGCTTCTTGCTCTTGGATCCCTGGACTCTGTGCTCTTCTCAGGGCCATTGCCTCTATACTAGATTTTAACATTGTGGCCAGCCATTCAGGAGTGATCATCAGACCCATTCCTGGCTATGGGGGTCACCTGGCTGTGGGTTTGCTGCCGGGGTGACCACCTGGTATCTGTGGTCAGCTGCTTTAGCCCACCGATTGGATGACCTTCTAGTCCTGCAGCTGAATTGGAGAGTCCACTAAATTAACAGACAATAGAAGCAGGAAGTATCAGCCCTGATCGTATATATTGAAAAGGAAACTTGCAACTTTAAAAGGTGGTAGGATGGGGAAAATGTGGGGCTTCAAGGTGAGGGAGTTTGCCCTAGGCTGTTCTAACTATAAGCTATACCATTGCCAATGTAAAGGGGCAGTGGTGACACACAGCTTTAATCACAGCACTCAGGAGGCAGAGGTAGGCGAATCTCTGAGTTTGAGGTCAGCCTGGTTTACACAGTGAGTTTCAGAACAGATAGGGTTTCTCAAGGAAAAAAGAAAAGGAAGAAAGAAAAGAAAAAAGAAATCATAGCCTATGTCTATGATGATCTGTCTGTATTTCTGGCTACTGTCTATCCTTCTCTCTCAGCAAAGTCTCTGCAGCTCATACAATAATGAAAGAACTGCCCTGGATTATGTGCCCTTCACGCTCAGCCATATCCCTTACCTGCTTCCCAGACTCCCATTCCCATGACACAGACAAGTGTGCCCTGTTATGCAGCCTCTGTGCTCCCAGGACAGACACAGGCCATTTCTTTCCCTCTTCCATCTCCCAATCCGCATTCTCTGGCTGACATAATTTCACTCAACTCACAGGTTTGTGCCTTTTAATCACTTTGCTCAAAACAAATGAGCCATCTCTGCTGACTTCACCCTCTGGAAATTTCAAACTCCAAGTCAACACTTTTTTCCTGTCTTTAGACTCTTAACCACTGCCTCTCCACCCTCACATTGCCCGTCTCCCTCACTAGGGCACATGGATGCACGAGGAAGGGGGGGAGGGGAAATAGCAGTTGTCAGTCAGACTGAAAATGCTGTCACTTATAAGAAAGCATGCCTGGGCTGAGGTCTCCGGGTCTCTGGGCCTTTAGATCCTCTGACCCAGAGAGAACCAAAGTCACACTGCTTTGGCATCTCAAGCCTGTGGACCTCTGGAGGCAGCATTCCTGCTTCAGATGGAGCTACTCTGCTCTGGTTGGGGCACCTGGTTTTGGCAAAGGCTTTCATCTGAAGTTGCAAGAGAGGTCTAGAATACTGGAAAATTGCAGGTCCAGATGGCTTAGATTGTACAACTCTGGGCTGTCTCTGTACCAAGTCTCCCCATCTCCCTTATCTCTGCTTTAACCTCCCAAGGTGATGGAACCTCCCAAGGCCATGGAACAGGAGACAGAGATCCATGTCCTCTGTCACTAACTATCCAGATTGTGTGGAAACAGCTCTCTTCACACAGAAGATGCTCAGCCGGAAACTAGCTGGCTTCCTTTCTTGGTTCTGGGACCTCCCAGGACCCCTGTTTTAATAGTCAGTCAGATATCTGAAGACTTAAGGTGTCTCTGCTTGTGCCCAAACCCAACTTTGGTTATTTAAGACATTGCTCAGGTCCTGACTGGTTGGGATAATGTCCTGTTTGGAAGATGCAGTTGGGATTAGACACATGGGCAGCCAGCCCATCTGGAGACTGTAGTTGGGCTGTTTCCTTTTCAGTATACATTGGTTTGCTCTATATGTCCCTAACCTACTTCAGACTGTAAGCCAGAACAAGGACCTCAACACCTCCAGCTGGGAAGTTATGCAGTCACCAAGTTAAGGCAATGAGAGATACTCTGGTCCTTTAATGATGCTGCCACTTCCCTGCATGTGAAGATGGCCACAAATGGTTACTCAACATTCCTTTTTTTGGAACTTGATCCAGAAATTGACTCAATAGTCTTTTCCCCTCCATATTTTGTCTTTGTTTCTTTTTGAATCTATATATAAAAAAAAAAGGGTTCATATTTTACAGTACCTAGGTTCTGTGTATGGCCCTATTTTCTTGAAGTGATATATCCCACTTGTTAGAACCCCCAAAATGGTTATTTTTGATTCCTGACTTTGCCTACAAGAAGAGACTCGTGTGCTAAATAGAGACTAGGGTGGTGGTGGGCTAGATTTGAGCTAAAGATGGGAGTATCTATCATCAGACCAGAGGCCTTGGTGACCTCCCTCCCACCCCACGACACTGCAGAGCCCAGGACCTCCTTGTCGTACCTGAGAGGAGGGCCTGGCCCGTGAACTGCCCGTACACGGAGGCAGCATGGGGAAAGGCATTGAAGGGTGGGGCCGAGGCACCTGCTGGGCCCCCAGAGCCGACTTGCTGCAGATCCAAAAAGGCGGAGCTAGATAAAGAGGAAGGGGTGGAGCTAGAACTGGAGAGCTCTGGGGTTTCCTGCTTTATGGCGAAGGGTGAATGAGGATCTGCCGGAGGGAGGGAGACAACAAGGAGAGAGGGGTGTGAGATGATGGGGCGGGATCATGCACAAACCAAGCCATGAGATGGGGCAAGGGCATGGGGACAGGCAGACCTGGCTGCTGTAGGAGGAGTCTAGGATGGGGAGCTGGGGTGTTCCTCAGATGGAATGAGATGGGGGAGCTGGAGGCTCTACCTCCCTGCTGTGCCTTCTGCCAGTGTAGATGGAAGGGGAGACCGAAGTATATGTGTGCTCAGCCTCTCCCTGCAAGAGGGAGTAGGAGATCCAGGGGGTGCCAAAGACTGAAGGCACCACCCCTTTGCTCCACTTTGAGGCCCAGTCAGCATAGTCCACATCTCCGTTGCAGGCCAGCACCCCAAACGCCTTCCTCCTGCCAGCCAGACACTCCTGCCTTCCCCTGCCCCAAGCCCATACTGACCCTCACAGTAGGGTCCAGATGGCTCAGGGGCCTCTGGGCATCCTACCTGCCACCACCGGATAGGTCTGGTGAGTCGAGAGGTTGCGTCCCAGGGGTGTATTGGAAGGTGTCAGGGTGGCCTTCCCATCATCCAGGGCACTGTTGAGTAAGGGCAGTGGGTACAGCCCCTAAAGAACAAAGAGAAGTCAGCAGGGGAGAGCAAGGCCCCTCCCTGAGCAAGGCTGTCTTCCTACTGACCCTACTGTCTGTCTCTGGACTAGGTAGCACCAATGTCCCCAGGAAAAGCCCCTTGTTCATTGTGTCTTCCTTCTTGCTCATTTCTTGGTTCCACATAGCTTGTTTGATAGGGCCTTGTTCTTCCACTCAAAGGCCTAGAAACCTCCAAGGACCTGGCTTCAGAATTCAAGGCCCATCAGCGGCATAGAAGCCCAGGTATGTGATGGGGACTGGCCATCAGAGGATCATGCCCTGACTGGGTGCTGCTCTCTTTCTTATTTCATATGGCTTGGGCTGTAACATAGGGAGGCATTGCCTAGGGCTGGGGCAGGGAGTGAGTGGGGCTGCTCAGAGTATTTCACTCTAATTGATTCTGATTTAGGAAATGCAAGTGTAGAGCTGAGGAAACTTATCCCTTCTCCTGGGGGTGAAGCAAGGATTTGGGCTCCAGTGCTCATACTATAGCTGCTGCCCCTGACTGATGGCAGCCATCACTTCTTACACTTGCTCACATTCGATCTTTGCTGCTATCGTTCTTATTGAGCAACCCAGTGATGGGAACCAGTAAGACTGTCAGATTTACATTCATGTGCAAGTGGAAACATTTAGTTTCACCTTGAAAGATACATAGGATTCCCTTTTTTCCCCAACATTCCTTCAAGTACTTGGGGTCATCTTCAATAAGAGCTTATTTCAACTCTTACTAGTGTTCCCTGGTATGAGCACGACTATGGCATGAGGCACTCCTTGCATAAATAATTTGTCAGGCTAAAGACAAGAGTATAGGCTACCCTCCCCTTGGCTTCCTGCTGTTCTTCCCAGGGAAAGACAGTTCACATCCACTCCACACACACAGGTCCCACATTTCACAAAAGCACTGTATGAACTGTTGTAGAAGACTGGAATCAAGGAACATTCCCTGGTTATATAACAGTTCTGCTGAAGACAATTGTTTTCAGTGATTTCCATTGAGCTCAGTTCTCCAAGGAGTCACAGCATTTTCTGGTTGCATGCAGGGCACTTTTGGAAGCTGCAGTCAATTCTGGAGGCCACCAGGGCACCATCAGCATGGAGCAGCAATTACTGACTAAATAGCACTCCCGTTCCCTTCTTCCGAGGGGGCCTACTTAGAGGCAGGGTGGAGTTGCTCAGAGCTAGCTGATTCTAATGAAACTGAACAAAACACCTAATTTCTAGAGAGTGTTAAAAAAAAAAAAAGTTTGCAATGTCTTGTGAATGTGTTGATTTGACAGCAAAATACTTACTCAAAATCAAGTTTCTGTCCCCAATCCAGGCAAAGAGTAAAGGAAAGCTATATAGTAGGAGATTTGGATGGTGTTGCATTTAACATCTTAAACATGCCCATAATGACTGGATTTTTTTTTCTAGGCTTGAACTTGAATTGGGGGCAGGAGAGCATAATGATTCAGAAGTGAAATGACTTAGTTCTGATTTTGCAACAATCTGTAGGGAACTGTGGTCTGTTTGAACTCTGAGTCTTGATCCCCCCCCCATCTTAAGAATCTACTGCACAAGACCGATTAAATATTATCTGTGATCTTAAATAGAGTGTTTCTGGACACAGAATACTCAGCAAGCACAGATGTTCAGCAAGAAGTGGCGATAGACATATTTTTACTACTACAGGAAGAGGCCGTAACTGCCACATTCTTGGCCTGTCTTCATAACATTCTCTCTCATTCTGCTGGCTCACATGGTGGTAGGCTTCAAATATAGAGGAAGAGCTACACAGATTTTTTAGCAACACCTGGGGAGTGGGGAGTGACACTGCACTGAGAAATGGGGTCACTTTCACCCTTGTTGATTTTCCAGACAGGAAGTATGTATCTTTGTCCCATGCTAAGGCCATCTTGTCTCCCAAAGACACCAAGCTTTATGTGCCTGAATGAAGGAGCAGATTACTTTAGAGAAGCAGACACAATAAGCAGAAGAGCAAGGTTCAGGCTGGGTGTTCTCTGTCCCTCCAGCCTGATGAGTGAATGGATGAAGAGGTAAGAAATGGCTGAGGGACACTGGGTTGGGCTTCACTTTACTCCTCCAGGCTGCAGAGTTAGAGAAGCTTAATGATTTTCACATGCTCTTGTTTTATTAGTCTTTAGTAAGAACTCCCTGGCACACACCTTTAATCTCAGCACTCAGAAAGCAAAGGCATGAGGATCTCTGTGAGTTTGAGGCTAGCTTGGTCTACAAAGCCAGTTTTGGGAAAGCCAAGGCCACACAGAGAAATCCTGTCTAAACAAGAACAAAAACAAAGAACCAAACCAAGAGGCAGGAGAAGAACAACCATGGAATTGCCATGTCAAAAAAAGGTAAGGGTAGATCAATTCACATGAATGAAATTAGGGTTGGCAGCCCTAAACTCTGCAATCATCTGCTTCCCCAAGTCTTCTCATGCTCCAGGCCCTGAGTAATCCTCATACAAATTGAAAAGCTAGGCTTAGTGACCACCAAGTCTCCTGTAGTTCTAAAAGTCTCTCATCCTAAGATCTTCCATGCATATGCCCACCAGCGCGACACAAGGGCTCACTCTAACCAAGCAAGGTCCTTTGGAGAACGTATAGATGAAGCCAGGAAATGGCTCTAAGACCTAGTGGATACCAAGGGTCTCCTGGGTAAAGCCACATTATTCTCCAAGGGTAACTAGTATATGCACATTGCATTTTGCAGGCTCATCGCCATAGAATGAGCTTCCTACAGACTCAACACTTGCCTCCTAGAGCCATGCTCTGATTATCAGATGTGCACCCAGGCCTTCTGCCTGGATCTGCTGATAGCCAACTTTGTCTACACCATTCACAGCTGTCATAGCCAAGGCTGATAAAAATCACTGACGCATATTGCCTACCCAGCTGTGGGGGTTGGCACAGGGCCAGCAACCCAGCCATTCATTGGCAATGTTTCAACTGCTTGTTAGCATCATCATTGTCTCCCTCAGATCTTAAAGGTGTACTTATAGACTTGCCTCAAGCCAAGAGGAGTGATAGGCCATACCCCAAAGAGTTTGACTAGATGGGATGAAGAGAGACAGACTTTAGAACCATTGACAAGTGGTTTTTAGCATTATGGGTTATTTGTTGGCCTCAGTGTGGGAATACTCATATCTCTGTCTGCTTTTTACAGAAGACATCCCATTATAACCCATTTCTCCATGCCTAAGATATGGAGGGGAAAATTCCCCATAGCTTGTGTCTTACTATTCTTGGTTTCTCAATTGATTCATTGGTTCATTTGTTTGATATGCCTTCATTGAGTAGCCATTAAAATTTTGGGCTTGGGATGCTACTCAAAGGTAGAGGAATTGCCCAGTGTGTGTGAAGTCCTGGGTTTGACCTCCATCACTACCATAAAGTAATAATAATAATAATTAATAATAATAATGATGATGATGATGATGTTAGGCTCTAGAGAGGGGGCAGGGATACATCAAAAGGTTACCCTGTCTTTAAGAAGTCTTTTGCCTTTACCCCCTACCCATTAGGTTATTAGAATGCACAGTAAAGTCAATAGAAGTCATGTGTGAGGCAAGAAGGCTGACAGGGGCCAAAGGGGTGAATCATACATGAGGGGCAGGGACAAATTAATGGAGAGGGTGACTGAGCTAAGTCATTGCAGCCAGCTGGTATTTTTCCAGGTAGAGCAATGAGAAGAAAGGCATTCTACGAGGAGGGCACATGATGTACCAGGGCAGAGAGGTGGGAATGAGGTCGGTGCACTTGAGCACATGAGTCACACAGAATCCTAGGCTATGGAGGTGGGGCTAGGTATGGTATTGAGGTCATTGTGAGAGCCTTAACTCCAATTGTGGGTTTGATTCTATTGTTGGAGAAAGCCACATATGGCAAAAGGATGGCCCTGCATGCAAGAACTAGGTTTAGAGTTCAGAGTTGGGTTATGAGAAGAGGGCAGCAGCACCAGCAAGACATCTTGCAGCTGGAAACTGCGTCAAGTGTGTCCTGAGCCCATAGGAAAAATTTGGAGTTGCTTTGATGGCTAGAGTTCATACTTTGCTCTGGTCCTTGCCTAACCCGTCTATGCCCTGCACCCTGCTTTCTTACCTGCTCGCCTTTGGTGTGGCTGGGGGAGGCATAGGCCTCCGAGTAGTGCTGCCTCTCAAACGGGCAGTCAAGCGGCTCAAGGTGGTGCTGGCTGAAGGCATCTGTCCGAAGGTGCTTTCGGGGACCACTGCTGCTACTCTGTGAGTCGATGCTCAGCCGACAGCTGTCTTGATCACCTAGTGCCCCCAGGCAGGCAGGGAGAAAGCTTTCAGGGGACCCCTCTTCCAAGACACCTGACCAAGTGGCCAAAGCAGAGGAGCAGATGGGCTGAGGAGGTAGGGAAAGGGTCAGCTAGAAGAAGGACCCATGCTCCTGTGAATAGGGGGTTTCAGAACCCTACCCAGTCCTGGACCAAAGGGAGGCATATCTTCCTATCAAAACTTTTGAACTGAGTGGTCTCCTGTGCCTCATGCCACCCACAGGTCACCAGAGAACTCACTATCATCCATCTTTCTCTTGTTGTCACTGCCAGGTTGAGCAATCCCCAAAAGCCCGTTGATAGAGTAGGTAGAGCCCAAGGAATCCGACTGGGGTGACTCTGGGGGTGTTACAGCTGAGCTGGGGACTGCAAAGGAATAAAGAGGTCAGAAATGGGAAACCATATTCCCACAACCCCTATTGCCACCATGAGTTCAAAACAACCGCCATGCTGTGGACAAAGGCCCTGGAGAGCTAGAGTCCTTCACTCCAGGGGCATGCTGGTGGGAGGGATTCCTAGAATTACGTTTGTCTGAAGTGTGTTCATTTTCCCATGTTCCTGTGAGTCTCCCATGAGTGTGGAAGTAGACTTTGTCTCAGGGTAATAATTCAGTCCATAGACAAACATATGAACAATCATATGTTCGTGTGTGTCTGTATGCATCTGTGTCTACATGGGTGTGGGTCTACATTCAAAGTTGTGGGAACAGTCAAATCCCTGAGCACTCACTCAGTGTGTGTCCTGGACTCAGAGATTTGGTGGCCACGCAGCTGTCCATGGGAAGGTTGAATGGTTGCTGCACTTTGGTTCGGATGATTCTGTGAGCAAGCAGAAGGACTGTTAGAGAGAGGATGACACAGGAGCTATGGCTTTCCAGGATCCAGTCACCTTTATGACAACCCACTTAGATGTCTTACATGTGTCCCCAACTCAGTGAGTCAACCATCAAGCTATGACCTCACCTCATACACCTGTTTCTCCATGTCCCGTGTCAAGACCAGAGACATGGGTTTCTCAAGGCAGAAATACAGATGCAGCTCAACAGGCTTCTATATATTTGACCTTGATAGCATCCCCAGAATTGATACTGTTTTGTATCTCATTGTTAATGTCTGAGCCTGTGCCACCATCTGCCCTGTTCCTCTAGAGTCCTGAAGTGATCCCTCAAGTTAGATATTCTGTCTAACTGTTTCTCTCCTTTTCAGCTAGAGTGAGCTATTCAAGCACACATCGACTTCCTGCTTAAAACACAGTAGTGACCTCCCATTGCACAAGCATTAAAGGCAGGAATCTGTTACAGTGACCAAAGGCTTCTTGGGGACAGTTTCTTCTGGCATTTTATACTTAGTGTACTTCAGGTTCCTCTTGTCTCCTGACTGACTTTCTTACATCTCATGTCCAAGCTCTCAGTAGCTACAGGCTTTAGTATGTAGTTGCAGAGTTTGTCTGGTAACCCTTTCCACCTAGTTAATTCCTACTCACTGCTTCTTACTTAGGGAAAGGCCTTCACAATTTCCAGAAAAAAAAGTTACCATAGACTAGCCCACATGCCATCAGGCTCCTAGCCTCAGCAGACTAGTAGCTGCATTTTTTTGCAATGTCTTTGTGGGTACTCTGTGTCTGTGTTCCCCATTAGATTGTAAACTCCACAAGGATAGGGATTTTCTGTGTTCTGGGAACTAATGCAGAATAAGTGAATGAATGATGTATGAATGAATGAATGAATGAGTGAGTAAATGAACAATGGAGGCAGTGAACAAATGATTGGGAAAGTGGACAAGTAGACAAGTACTCCAATAAGGACCAGGAAGGGATCTACTCAAGAAGTTTCTTTCATGAATTGAAAGGAGACAATAGCTCTTAAGGAAGAAAACAAGATACAGGACAACATAGTGTGGGGATAAAGGGAGGCTCCATAACAGGAACAAGAGAAGGCTGGGAGGGATGACATGTTCCAGGCCTGAAAGCTCCTGCCTGATTCTTTAAAGTAAAGCCTCTTCCAAAACCCCTAATCTATCCAGGCCAGGCTCTTCATGTTTCTTTCAGGAATCTTCCAGAACCCTGGGGTCTAGGAGAGCACCGGAAGCTGCTGTCTCTCACCTGTTGATGGAGCTGACACTGGGTACAGTGTCATTGTCACAAACGCCTTCTGCCAAGAGCCGGTCCCGGATCTCCCAAGCAAACATGGTAGGGTTTTGCCGTTTGTAGTCCCCTATCTTCTCCACCACCTTGGGGGTAGCCACCTTGGGCTTGGAGCCCCCTATCACTCCAGGCCGGATGCTGCCAGTCTCGTAGTACCTACTCCAATAGAGAACCCCCCCAAATTACCGGATAAGCAGGTGGGGCCTTTGAACAGGGACCTGGCCAGAGACTCTGACTCCTCTGAGTCTCCCGAGAAGAGGTGTAAGAGTGAGATATGACCCTCCCCCAACTCCCACTCAGCCTAACACTGGATTTCTCTCCAGCAGTCCACTCCTCTTATTTGGGTAGATTTGTGCTGTTACCAAAGCAAAACTCCCTTCTCAAAGGGCTTCCTCCTGGGTTCTCTGTCTTCTGCCCCTGGCCAGCATCAGAAAGCACACAAAGATCTCTCTCCCTCATAAGAAAGGACCCTGGGAGTTATGGGCCTGCAGTGGTTCTTTTCTCTCATCTGCCCTCTCTTGGCATAACTGACTCTACTCCTTTGTTCTCCTGGCCTTGCTCAGAGAAGCCAGCTGGAATCACTGACCCCTCTGCTGTCTTGCTGGGTCACTTTTGCTTTGTCCAAGTCTGAGCCGTCCCTCTCACCCTTTGCCCTCTGGTTTTCTACCAGGTTCCATGGTTCAAGTTGAAGTTGCTTCTCCCAGCCTCACTTTGAATCCCTGGCTTAATTCAGCCCCTGAAGATGAGCCTCCTCCTCCAGACCTACCCACCCCACAACTAGCTGGCTGACAGATTGATAGCTTGGTCAAGATACTCTCTGGCCTCCTTTGGTCTTCTATATTCTCTTCTGCCAATGAATAAAATGGTCTTTTAAAAAACGCCATTGTCATCACCACTCAGAGTTTGTCTCCTCTCTGGGACTCCAGTCATCTGACTAATGCTCTCTCCTTAGCCCTAAGAAAAGGCCTCCTTCCTCTAATAGCTTCAGGCAGAGAGCCAGGGCTCTCCATGGCCCATCAGCCCAGTCCCTTTACTTCCGTGAGACAGTTTCCCTTGAATCTACATAGGGTCTGTATGCTGTGGGCTGATGAGTAAGGTGGACAGGACATAGAACTTCCAAATTCCCAAGATCTCTATTTAAAGGGTATTTCTGACAGAAGTGTCAAAGGCTTTTATGTTCCTTGTCCTTCTGAATCTGTGCCCTGTGATTCTCAGCCCTGGCTGAAAGAATTAGAACTGTGTGAGTGGGGTGGGGTCTACTGATATGCATACATCTGAGTCCATTCCCTCCTATTGTTTGTGTTCCAGCCTAGACCCTGACCTTCTTATTTATTGTGAGAGTTTAGAGTTTCCAGGCACAGCCAGAACTGCGAGCCACCACACTGGGCCTTACAGACCAAGGCTTCTCAATCCTCCCTGTTTCTGAGTTTTGTGATTCCCAGCCATCTTGCAAAAGCCACAGGCCTAACTGAAAGGCTGAGTCAGTAGGGCTGGGCTGTGAATTTCATCAAACACTCCCATTGCTTCTCTAACAGATACTCTGAAAGTTGTGGATTGAAAAACACAAGGTCGCATGCTACATGGGCCTGCAGCTATGAGGTTGACACAGAAAGTGAGGCTTGCAGGGAAGGTGGCCTGTGGTGAATTTCGTGCTTACCTGCCAAGGATCTTGCTGACACAGCCATGGCTGACTCGGAGCTGGCGAGAGATATCACAGGGCCTTACACCCTGGTGGGCCAGGTCCACGATGCGTTGACGGACAACTTCTGGCAGAGGCCTGCCATTCACAAAGGCCCCTCCTAGCTGATTCAGCCCTCCGTGGCCTAAAAAGACAGGTTTGTAAGGGACAATTATCAGAACCAGGGGGTAAATATTGAGTGACACCTAGCCCTGAGTATGAGTTCTATGTGTGACTGTGTGACTCCATGATCAGTTCCTTCAGCTCTCCTTCTATGTGTGGCCTATCACCCCACCCCATCTGTCCTGTGAGGGTTCCAAAAGAGCACATTACTATCAGGTGACCCTTTAGATCTGCTCCATCTCCTTCAGAAGCCCCGCCCTTTGTGTCAAGTATCATCAATGACCCCTTTCCCACATTTTCTTCCATTTGCAGACATGAAAGGAGTGGAAGAGTCAGGCTTTTCTTAAGTTGAGACACTCAGCTCACTGAGTGACAGTGAGAAAAATATCTCCCTTCCCCCTGAATTTCCTTTTCTTTTCTTAAAATGAAGGTGAAGGTTTTTCCCTTTGTCTTGCTTCTCTTAAACTACAGAACCTTTTTTTTCCTCCCTACCTCTTCCTTCCTTCCTTTCTTTCTTCCGTTCTTCCTTTCATCCTTTCTTTGATTTTTTGAGACAGGGTTTCTCTGTATATCCCTGGCTGTTCTTGAACTCATTCTGTGTACCAAGCTGTCCTAGAACTCACAGAGGTCCACCTGCATCTGCCTCCCGAGTGCTGGCATTGAAGATGTGTGCCAGCTGGCCCAGCTACAAAACCACATTTTACACAAACATGAAAGAAGCGAAGGAGAGGATCTCTGGTTGTGGTAGGTCAGAATAAACTAGGCCCTGCCTGTTGCTGTCTCACCTAAGCAACCCCAAGGTTTCTTCTCTCTGACAGATCAGAGAACTAAAAACAGAAAGCTGAGAACTCACTAGGACACTGTGTCAGGCAGGGATGGGGGCACTGGAGGACATGGCAAGCCAAGCCTTAGATGTTTGCCTGGTTTGGCCTCTATCACTGGACTGGTTTTATACTTCATTCTGACCATACATATCTAGTCAGACCAGTATCTACTGAATGCTTAGTGTGAGACAGGTGCTTTAGCAAGTTTTGAAGCCCCAAGGTGAATCAAGCTATCTGCATGCTTTTACCACCTCACGGGACTTATTGCAGCAGGAGCCTAGACCAGCTAATTAACATCCCTCATGATCTTTTCTGGACTCTCATGCTTAGAGAGGTAATTATTGAATCAGTAGACTTGACCCTGGTCAAAGAAGCACAGAAGGGTTCTTGGAAAAGTTCAAGCTGAGACTCAAGGCAAACTCAAGTTCAAGCTGAGATTCAAGTGCTAGAGGAGAGAAAGAGGACCCTGTTTGAAGCAGGGGGATAGCACATGTAAATGTTTTGAGATTAATGGATAGGTATCTGCTAGATTTGCAATACTTCCAACTCTACGATCCACATTGGGTTAATTTCAGAACTGAGATGTCCAATTTCCAAAAAGAAGGTCATAAAGAACATTTCAGGGGCTTGACTCAAACGACTCAGCTTATGTGAAGAACATCGATGATCCAAACAAAGCTTAGAAATCCAGTCATTGCTGTTTCTGTGTGAGCCCTTGATTGACAGCTGGAGCTGACCCTGTCTCCTTATGATGACAGTGCCATTGCCTAGGCTTGACTAGCATCCTTCGACACCAAGGACTGGATTTGACAATCTATTTTAGGGTGGAGATGTATAAAAGCTCTAGAAGTTTATGTGGAGCAGAAAGGATTGAGCCCAAATGCTCAGGACCCCATGAAGCTTATTGCATAGCAGCCAGTATTGTACAGGGAGTCATAAAGAGACAGCCAGTGAGAAGGGGAAGTTGATACCAGGCCAGTGTGCCCAGTTAACAATATATATGGGAAAGGGTGGGAAGTGCCTTTGCTGGGCACACTGTGCTCATTATCACCCACTGACTTAGCACATTCAGAACCTCCTCCCAAATTCTCTTCAGGGGCCCAAGATGTCTTCAACAGGACATATAATTTCCCTTAAAACAAACAAACAAGGTGAAAAGCCTCTGTCCTTGGCATTAAATCAGGAGGAAAAACACACTGGCTACTCACCAAGCATAAGGGACATGTCGGTCCATCTTCCAGGAACAGCTTCTGCCTGCCTGTTCTAGGCCACCTGTCCTAATGAATACTTTTCCATGAGTTGGAAAGTATCTTGAGAACTTTCAGTCCAGCCCAGGTGATGGACAATGTGGCTTTTACTGCTCTTGAACTTGTTCCTCACTGCCCATGCTGCCCTTTGTGGAGAAATTGCCCCTCGTTTCCTCATTATTGCTTTTTGACTCCTTGGGGTCTAGACACTGAATACCAGGGCATATCAGACAGCTATCCAAATGTACAAGACTTTAGGCAGGCCTACTTTGTCTCCATTTTCCAGAATTTTTACTGCATGAGGCATAGATCTTTTTGCTAGAATCTCTCTCTATCTGGAAGTCAGATATATATATATATATATATATATATATATATATATATATATATGAAATGGGGTATCATATAGGGGTGTCACAAATTAAGCATTTTGCCTGCAACAAAACAAAAAGTAAAATCTACTCTTGTGATTCGCCAATAGAATAAAATATGGTCCTAAATTATCCTCAGGACTGACACAGACTCCTTAGAAATCCAGATGCTCAGGACAGTACTGAATCTTATTGCACAGCAGCTAGTCACAGCTCTGTCCCCTGAACTGTGACTTTGCTGGCACATTATTTTATTGTGGAAGAGCTTGAGTCAGATTGCTGTCTTGACTCTATGTGTTTTCGTCATATTGTTTGAGTTGATTTAGTTGTAAGGGTAGGCATGAAATGGGGCTTGGCAGCATTCCTCATTGTAATGGGAAGATGGGATAACACTGGAGAAGCATTTCTTTAGCTGAAAGTCGATATAAATACAAAGGTTTTCATTATAATATTAATATTATTGAATACTATCAATCTGGCTTGGCTCTAACACTTGGATAGTAGTTCTCAAGTTCTCAAACTGAAATACACATGAGAGTCTCTTGTATAGTATATTGAATAGAAACCTGTTGAGTACAATATCTCATTTTAAAATCAGTTGGTCTAGGGTAGAACCAAACCAAGAATTTGTGTATGCCAGAGGTCCACAACTATTCATGGTGAAGAGAATATGTTACTTTGGAAGGTTCAGCCCTACATGGGATACATAGATCACACACACACACACACACACACACACACACACACACACACACACACACACACACCCCAAGGCTCAAAGGTCTATGCAGAGCAGGAAGTGGGGAGTGGAAGGTGGAAGGATTGTAACACCAGAGGTGGTGGAGGACTTCAAGTTAATAGTGTTTTCTGGACACCACAGAGCAGTACACATACGAACTCCAGGGATTGTGATGGTATGCACAAAACCTACACAAGTTCAAGCCAAGCAGAAGCCCAGCATGGAGGAGGGGAAGAACAGGAAGCCCTAACCCTGGCTGAGAACCTGTTGGTATTTGATTGCTGATAGGAAACAGAGAGTCAGTTCTTTAATGGTGTGACATCTGGTTCTACTCCCAGGAGTAGCCGACCAAATCAAAGTGGACTCAGTGGATTGGTGTACACAAACACACACACACACACACACACACACACACACACACACACACTGGGGGTTGGGTGGATGAGGAGTTGAGGGATGATCTGGGAAGTTGAGGGATGAATATGATCAAGGTACATTGTAGGAAATCCTCAAAGACTTAATACAAGCTTTTTTAAAATTGTGTTTCTAAGAAGCTTCCAGATTGTGTGTGAATGCTGAGTATACTGTGGGACCACTGGCTAGGTTGGGCATTGGGCAATGGATGATAAAACAAACAAGATCACATTCTCTCTTCCTCCAATCTTTTTCCAAGAAGTGTAATCATTATGTGTATTTAATTATTTTCATTTAAATCCAACACATATTAACAAAATGCCAATGGTGACTCAGCTACAGGGCCCTGTATAATTGAACAAGACATGAATGTTTAAACCAGTTCATGGGACACAACCAGATTAATTAGGAATCTCCGTGTTAAGGTAGAAGTCCCTTGGAGGAGCAATGGGCAGTCAAAGAGGAGTCCAAGGAGTGACTAGAAAAAAAAAAGGAACAAAACAAACAAAATGACCATAGGAAGTAAGAAAAGGCTAATTGCATAAAGTTCTGGTGCTTTCACCAAGTTGAATGCCTTTTACTGCCTCTATAGATCATGCATGAAAGTAAGATTGAGAAGGGCCAACTGGCTGCACATAAAGGTGGCCTCTATGGGTTGAGGTTTTGAACTGAGTTCTGTAATGGAAGGGCCTTTGTATTTTCTGTGTCCGGTGTGGGGGAGTGGACCTCTCTAGTGATTCACCACCAAATGCCCAGAGGTGGGTGCAGGCTTCCTTCCTGCCATCATTGAGGGGCTGATGCCCATTGTGGAACATCCTTCCCATGCTGCTTTGTACTTTATGGGCAGGTGGACCTTAAGGCCGGAAGCCAGTGGTTAAGTAGGAGCTCCCTGGTTGGTCAAGAGGTAGGGCTAGGGAAAGTGTAAACCAGGAGGAGGTTAGAAGCTTCATAAGCAAAGGCCTTTTGTATGTCTAGAGGACTGTGGGTGAAGAGAGATGGATGTGTAGGAGGAAGCCTGGCTGGATATAAGAAAGTTCTTGAGTATGAAGGTCTTCAGATAGGGAAATGCAAGCTTCCCTGATCAGAGAGGAGTTAGGATGGCTTAAAGAGATTGGCAGGGCTGTAAAGCATCCTTTGGGGGAAATGACCATTTGAGGAGGTCCAAGGACACTGTTCAGTGGTTTCTTCTCTACTTAGAAGGTTCTAAGAAGTAAGGATAGAAGAATGAATCAAAGGCCTCACTAAAAACTTGCATTGCATGAACAAATGTCAAACACTGAAGACGAGAACGCGCCTCTCCTGTGCCCCCAGCCTTTGCACCATTACCCATCACATCACTGACTTCTAACCAACAACTTTATCTATTTCATTTCTTTATGAATTCCTTAAGAGTAGAAGCCAAGTCTTGGTTTACAAAGCACCCGACT